TAAATTTATAACTAACAATATTGTGTAGAAATTGATAAAATTTTATCAAATATTTAACATGATATTCACGAAATCCATAGAAATGGTATACTTTCATCCTGGTCAAATAATAAATAAATAATTAATTTTATCAAATACTTTCAAATTAAATAATTACAATAAAAAACATACAGTTTTTGTAAAATTTCTTTTAATTCATGATTAAGATCTTTACGTACAATAAATCCTTTATAATATAAACTATTATCAAATGATTTAATATTAAGTAGATATCGATAATAAATAGATAAACACTCGATATCTTCTAAACTAGTAATCAATACTTTATTGTGATTTAATAACATTTTTATGGTATTTAATGCATAAATATCGGTAAAATTTATTGCTTTAAATCTATTATTTTGAATTTGTGGATATTGCTATAAATTTATATAAAAAAAACAATTAAAATTTTGTTTCATAAATGTATATATAATTGAGATTTATTTATTAAAAAATAACATTTTACTTACATTTTTCAAAGTACATTTTGTCAATGAATTTTCAATAATTAAAATATTTATTTTTTTTAATTCAATCAATTGTTCTATAGTTTCAATTTTATACAATTTTTGCGACACAATAGCTGAATAAATATTATCATTAATAAACTGAATAATTATAAACGATATAAATAGTGATATTGCTATAAGTAATTTTGGATGATAACCTTTAATTTGAATACCTATTTTTAATTACAATTAAAATAAATTACAATTTTTTAAATAAAGATTAATAATATTAAAATAACTTACCTTTGCCTAAGATCAATGCAAACATATTTAATAAATTACTAAATAATAGATTTTTGTTATTCAATAATAAATTTTGAATCCAAATAAATAAAATAACAATAAAATAAGTTGAAAACATTAATATCCAAATATAATAATCTAAACCATAAATTATTTCAAAAAATGTTTTTGTATTACTGAATGAAGGACTGTATATAATTGTCAAAATATAACTTTTTATATTAAGTAAATAATAGTCGACTACTTTAGCCCGATTAATATTATATGAAAATTGTACCATGGCAAAATCAGCTAACTTTTAAAATAAATATAATTTTTAATTTATAAATAATACTAAAAAATTTCTTTTTTTTATAAATACCTTTTGCTGCAACAATTCAATTATACCAATCCAACTACCATTTCCTAAAAGTGTACCAGCTACATTTGCATTGGCAATACTTATGCTGATACTATTTGATTAAATAGTAAGTTTAATTAATATTTATTAAACTCTTAATTAATTAATTAAAAATTAATTAAAATTATTATATTTTACTATACTTTAGTTTATAATAATTAGTAAGTGTTAAATAGAAATACTGTAGATTTCTTTGACAAAATTTTACTGATTTAGTCGTAACCCATAATATCTATATTATTAAAAAGTATTATTAATAATTATATTAAGATATAGTTAAGTATTTAATTTATATAATATTATTATTAATAATAATACCTCCTCAGGAAATATAGCAATCACCAAATTTGTATTATTATCATTATTATTATATAATTTACTTTCTATACAATAATTATTTGACATATTAAAAATTTAGTCATAAAACTTTAAAGATTTATTAATATTATAAAAAACTATATTAAGTAATCTGCATTGCATTTATCTGCATATGAAAATTTAATTAAATATTATACATTATAATAATAAAAATTTCACAATATATTTATTACTATTTTAAAATTTTTTATAATTAATATTGCATAAATATTTACTTTAAATAAATATTTTTATAAATATAATCTTATGATATTTTTAAAAATAATATATAAATTACATTTACAGTGTATTAAATTTTAGTTGAATGATATGAATACTATTTTATTAGATGCATATTAGTATTTTTTTTAAATATTGACATAAAATATTTCATTATTTAAATAATAAAATAAAATAAACCAAATAAAAAACAAATATATTTAACAAATGTATACAATCTAATATCAATTTTATATATTATTAAATAGTATTTTTAATACATAATAAAAAAATATTTTATGTATAATAATACCATTTTTACAAAAAACTAAAAATAGCAATATGATAAATGAATTTAAATATTAATTATTTATTAAATGTTATTTTTTAAATAAAACTGTCTTTCAGTGTCAAATTATGTCAAATGTTTATAAATATATTTTTTATATTTGTTACTCTATTTAAATATTACTTTCTTATTAATGAAAATCTTTTGAAAAAATATTCAAATAAAATAAATAATTTCAAATAAAAAATATAATTTATATAATTTCTTGCAATAGAGTTTAATAATTAATTAATGTCATAATTTAGCTAAACATTTATTATATATTATTTAAGTACAGTGTAATTGTAAAATGTACATTACATATATTTCACAAACATTATCTTAATCATAAATCATAATAATATTAAATTAAATTATATTTAAATAATATTAATTTTCAAAAAATAATTATAAGTTTTAAATAAATTTAAAGAAAACATTTACGTTAAGTTTAAAATAAATTATTTTTATTAATAAAAAAAGTATTTAGTTTTAATTCGTTAAATTAAAATCTCTTAGCAAATATATAAATAGTAATTAATAATTTTATTATTTTTAATATCTACTGTATATCATTATGTATTTGTATATTATTTCTGTTAGTATGATTATGCAACAAATCAAATAACCATAATATAATATTTGAAAAACAAAATTGAAATGATTAAAATTTAATTGTTTAACAATAGTTTTATCATAATTAATATTATCAATAAACAAGTTATCATTGAATACATTATTTAGTCCATCATTAGTACCAATATTCATGAATTTATAAAATTTAATTAAATGTTTGATATGATAATCACGGAATCCATAAAAATGAAATAATTTAATTCTGCGACAATTTAATAAAAATAATAAATTAATAAAAAATATTTATCAAATAAAAAATAAATTATACATTTTTTGTAAAATTATTTTTCTATCTTTTTTTATATGTTTACGTATAATAAATCCTGAATAAAATGATTGATCGTCTAATGATTTCATGTAAAGCAAATATTGTATATAATTTTTATGTAAACATTCAATATCATCCAATGTATTAATTAATACTTTATTGTGATTTAATAACAATTTTATAGTACTAAATGAAAAAAACTCGGTATAAGTAATTGATTCAAATCTATTATTTGATATATTTGGGAATAGCTGTAAATAAATTTTTTAAAAGTTAATCAATTAGTAATAATGAAAACTTTAATAATTTATATTAAGTTTTTTTTACAATTTTAAGATTACGATGTGGCATTGAGTCTTTAATTATTAAAATTTTGTAATTACTATTTGGATCAGTTAATTGATGAATATTATCAATTTTATATCGTTTTTGCGCCACAATTGCTGAATAAATATTATCGTTAGTATATTGAATAATAATATACGACATAAATAATGCTATTATAATAATTGATTTAGGATAATAACTTTTCATTTTAATACCTATTTTTATAATGAAATAATAATTAATAAAATTTAACTATTTTGTACAAAATAAAAATATTTAATACTCACATTTGCCTAATATTATTGCTATATAATTATATATAAAATTGCTTAACGAAAATTGTTTTTTGTTAATCATAATTTGAAGCCAAACAACAATAATTATCATTAAAAACATCAAAAACATTGAGATCCAAAAATTATAGTCAAAACCATAGATTATTTGCAAAAAGCTTTTATTGTTATTAAATGCTGGATAGTATAATATCGATGACATTGAACTCCATTTAATTTCTGAATTAAATTCAACTACCTGAGCTCGATTAGCATCATAAGCAAATGGTACCATGCTAAAATCGACAATCTTACAATAAATAATAATAGTTATAACACTTATTACTACTATATATTATTACATGATATAAATTATAAGAATAATTGGTTATAACCTTTTGATGAAATAAGGCAATCATACCAATCCAACTACCGTTCCCTAAACGGATGCCACCAATATTTTCATTGCTAATCTTAATACTTATACTACAATATATAATACAATATATAATAAAATCTATAATATTTATTAGCTTAAAATTATGTAATTATTTATACTTTAATTTAAAATGATTAAAAAGCGTTGAATAAAAGAAAATATATTTATGACAAAATTTAACCAAATTATTTGTTTTCCATAATATCTGTTTCAAATTCAACAATAAAATTCAAAAATTTATTAATATATTATTGTATTAAAATTAATTATAATAACCTCATTAGGATATATGCCAATGACCAAATCATTATTATTATTATTATTATTATTATTTGGATCATATAGTTTACTTTCAACACAATGATTTTCAATCATATTAAATTGATATTTAATTTTTGTAGCAAAAAAATATATACTGTATTTATTTATTTCTTAGTTATAAACTAAATAAAATTTTATAAAATCTAGATTTATCTGCAATCATGTTTTTAATAACTTAATGGTATTTACATAGACATTATAATATAAATTATATATTCAAAGATATACTGTGAATATATTAAGATTATTAAAAATAAAAACAAATAAATTTATTTTTTCTTTGAAAAAAATTATTTATTTACTCACTTATATAATTATTTAATATATTTTATAAATTTATTATATTCTTTTATTAATAATGTAATATTTTATTGCATCAATATATGAACTAAATTAGTTATCACTTATTAGAAAATAAGTTATAATATAAATAATAATATAGTTATTATTGCAGTTATTTTTTTATCTTTTTCTGTTTAATTTAACATAAGATTGACAGTATATAAAATAGAGTATCTTAATGTACATAAAAATTATTTAATATAATTTAATTAATTGTTATTATAAGATAATTATACTTAGAGTATATAATAAGTTTTATATTAATTTATAGTATATTAGTATAAATTCATTAGAAAAATGTTTTATAATTATTTCAACAATTACTACACATTTCAACACATATTTTCATTACTATTGATAATAATTTATATTTGTAATAAATAATAAAAATTTTATATTACATTAACAATACTAATAAAATTGATTTTTATAAATATTTTATTTACTCTAGGTAAACATGTTTATAGTGACGTCCCATTTGACGGACCTACCACTCAGGTAATATTAGTACATAGAGTAATATATTTTTTAAAAAGATAAAATTTAATAAAATTAAATTTTTATAATTATAATTCTACCTGGATATCAGCAAGGCAAATATATTGAGGACAGGCATAACAAATGGTTGGCACTGACACCTGAGCAACGAAAAGATCCCGAAATATTAGCTAAACTTTGCGGACCATATAATCGTAGCATTGAATGTACGTCCGTTATAGCACCGGCAGTCAGTGAACAAATTAATTGCGACACTATATGCTGTAATCAGGGATTTCTAACCGGGTTTTGTACGTCTGCACTCGAGGAACATGTTGTTATACTGAGACCCCTGTCCCCGGATTGGCATTACGCCGGTCACACACATCCCATCAGATTGTCGGCTATTTGTGAATGTACTGACAGTTGGGCTGACGCCTCGTGTGGTACCGACGGGTCATTTATGGGAATACGATGTCCCGACCGGAGTGCCTGTAAACGGCACTGTTGTCGCAATAAGTTTAATACCAGTGACTGTATTGGAGTGCATCGATTGCATTGTGATTGTAGTAATAAATAAAATATTTATTATAATATAGTATTTTATTTATTTTTATTTTTTGATACATAAATTGTATTTTGAATATACTATTTCACTAATTGATATCAAAATTAATTAAAAATAAACTTTAATATCATAAATATAGTATAAATTTTATATTGAATACTGTAGTACTAAACGTTATATTTTGTTTGCAAACTAATAGATGGAAATGTTTTAGTTACTATTTATTCAAATTTGACTCTAATTTGAATCTTAAAATATTTTTTGCTAATAGACATGAATTTTAATCATTTTATTTTTTCCCAATAAACTTAAATATCATCAATTGAAAGTTGATTGATAGGAAATATTGATAAAAATCATGTACCAGTAAATTACTGTATATATCACATATTAGTACATTATTAAAATTGTCAACTTATTCATGTATATTAATAATCTATAGATATTTGTTTAAAAATTAAAATTATTAAAAAGTAAAGTTTTAAAAAACATTTATTTTTTAAATTTCAAGTCAAATATTATTTTTAAAAACTAAAATTTTATACTTTAAATACTATTGAATGATTGCCTTCAAGTTTATCGACAATTTTGGACACTAGTGTAACCCTATTGACACTATCGCCCCATATATTATACAATTTGGTGTCATTAGTCTTGTGCTGTTCGACCACAACATTAAATAAGTTGTTGTCATAATTGAGTTCAAGATTGACATCCTTGTCCTTAAGCAATACCCGACCATCACTTTCGGTGACATTTAATATAGTAATGAAGTGAACTTTGAACGGTTGCACAAACTTCAGTAGTTTGTAGCTCTCGTCAAGTGTTAGGACATTAGACTTCCTGTCGAACACCAGTTTGCGAACCCAACTGTCGACCTGTGCTTCCTTAGGATAGGCGCCGGCTATGTCTGCCTTAAACTCTGCTAATAAACCGGTTTCGGTTTTATTGTAAGTGACATTATGTGCCGCGTAATGTAGGCCATCCTTTTGTTGGACACCATTAATGGTGGGCGTATTGTGCCACTGGGATTGCATATACCAAATATCGTACCGATGCTTACCGAACGTATCTTTTGTGTAGACACCGACACCTATGTCTATAATGGCCGGCAAACCGTTGACGTATAGGATAAAATTGCCGACATCGTTGTGATTATGACTTTCACCTTAATATGAATTTTATAATATATAAAAATATTTAAATTATACTGTATTCATATGACTTACCATTAGTACCAGCTTTTGCACCCAAAAACAATCCCTCAGGTGATCCCTCGCGAGTCCTCAAAGTGATTACTTGAAGATCGGGAAGCCATGACTCTAGTGGTTGCGGCGCTTTCGGTGTTTCGGTTTTCAGATGTGGATAGGCATCCAATTCCATAAAATACTGATGCAAATGGCCATTGAAGCCATCAGTCAGAAAGTAGTGGTCGCCACCGGCAAACTCATATATATAGGAGCCAAACTGTTTCATCAATGAATTGTTAAACAACTGTCCGTAATGATAGATGAGTGTCGGATCGGCCACTTGTTTGGCGGCCGCGTCAGCAAAATTGACAAAATAGTTTTTATCAATATGCATTTTATAGATATAATCACCGATACTCTTGATTAGCGGTTTCGATGACCAGTCCATGTGGTGCTTACTGGCCGACGACATGTAAAACAGGAACTGTATTAACCTACCGGCCGCCTCATACCAATAGCTCGGGCCCTCATCACAGCCGCCATCCTCTCCATACCAGTCGAGCCAATTGTCAGCACTGGTTACCGCTCTTTTGATGACATCCAGTCTAAGCGTATCGTTGACAGTCAACAGTGCAGTCATCAACATATTGGTATTGATCCATATGTTCCAGTTGTTGACGTGTTGTCCCTCAAAACCCATCCAACTTTTGAAGTCTGTGTGCAAAAAATCTTCGACAATACGTTTGTCTAATTCATAGTCAATGCGCTTCACAAACATTGGCGATAGTTTGGCTAACTGTTCGCCTGTTTAAAGATAATAAAATGTTTTTTTTTGTTTATTTTAAATTAGACAAAACGTGTTTATATTACCGAGCAATAGACGAATCCATGATATATAAGCCGATGACTCGCCGGCACCCAAATCAATGATATACTGTTGCGGATCGGGTAGACCTTCACCAGCCTTTTGCATACCGATATGAGCCGGCCACGTCCAGGTGCTCTCCTCTAGTAAAAGCCAAACTCCATTTGCAATCTGATTAATATACTTACTCTTTTGGGTCAACAGTTCAGCCAAAATTAGATTCATAAGTTTGTCTCTTCTGTTAAAGTTTTTTCCTTCATAATGATTACGATTGCCATTAATCTTGTACTCGAGGAACTCCATGGCTAACAGTGGTTCCCATTGTTGTTTAATATCTTTATCTGCTCTCTCGATAATCGCATTTTTAACTGTTTCCGGCAATGACTGTATATTTTTGCCAAACTCTTCTCGCAATTGATTTCTCCAGTTTTGGTTGTCATTCAAGTAATGTGTTTTATCTTTAAACTCTTTATACAAATACTTTCTGTCGTAACGCTTCTGTGTCCACACAATACCAGCAAAAGTGGTCACAATTACTACTAATACTATGAGTAATAAGTTTCTCATTTTTGTTATTAATAAATTGATTGAAATTTATTAAAACAATATTTAAAATAATAATTAAATACAACTCAGAATTCAATAACATTTTTTTTTTTAAATATATATCATTTATATATCATTTAAAATTAAGTGATATCATAATGAAATTTTATACGTCAAACGTTATTTATTCAAAAATAAAACATTTGTAAATTATCTATTTTTCTACTATTGTTTATACAGTATATATATATATATCAAATAGTTTATATGTACCTATGTTTTAATTTATTTCTCGGTTCTTTACAAAAATTTTAACAACAAAAATTGTTTATAATTTTTATCACTGATATATATATATATATATATACAGTATATATATATAATATTTTATATGTGAATTATAGCAACTGTTGATGTATTTTTTTTAATTATCTCTAGTGAACTAATTTACTAAAAACGGATTTAAAATTATTTATTATGAAATACTTTATCAGTCTCTGTGTAATATAAAGCAATTATTTTGTTTTTTAAATATCAATATTTGATAAATTGATAAGTTGTTGTTTTTATATTATTCTTTATAAATTTTTAATATATAATGATAAATATAGCTTATTAAATTATAACTTATGTTTTTTTATCAACTAGCAAATAATTGTAAATCTTATATAAAATAACACTGTTAATATTGAATATATATAATACAATTTATATACAATATAATTTATAATAAATTACTAATAATTTAAAATTTTCAAAATGTAATGTCAAATTGCTACAATAATATCAATTACAAAATTTATTATTTATAATTTAAGAAAATTAATAACTTAATTTTTGTGTATTTAAAAATTATTTAAGAGTATTAATTAAATACAATTGAATTACAAAACAAATAAATGTATTACTAATTAAATAAAAAATTCCAATCTATTTTTATAAATATTTTAAACTAGAAATAAACTTTTTAAAATTTATTATCATTAGTAATGATACATTCATGACCATACATTTACTATGTATATATATGAATATATAATATAAATGATAAAAAAAATTATTCAAAAACTTGTAATTAAAACAGTTTTTGTGATAATTTGTTAACAATCCAAGTGTTTTCAGTCTTAATATGAGACGACTATCAATACCGAGATGTCCGACATTACTATTGTATTCATACTAACAGTTATATCAGTTTTTTTGGTCACTTTTAAGCATTTTATTGATAAAATAGTAGGGTTTCATATAATATTTCATGTAATTAATATGAGAATATTTATAAAACAATATATTTTATTAAAAAAATAGTGCAATAAATATTAGAATAAACATTTTTAAAAATAAGTAGTGTTTCAATCTGAGTAACAATTTTAATATTTATAAAAACAATTACAATATATACAATATATGTATCAATAGTTAATATAAATATATATATATAGATATGTTTTTATTTATATTAAAATTGTCTCAGATTACGACATTACTTATTATATTTAAAAATATTGAAACCGAAAATATATCACTTGTACACAAAGTGTGACTTTAGATTTTCAGCAAAAATTGTTTTAAATATTAAATTTTTAAATAAAAAATTTTCTATAATGTGTTCTGAAGACAACATAAAACTTAATAATTTAATATATAAATGATATAAAGTTTATTATAAATTACAGTACATATATATATATATATAAACTATTGTATACTTTAATATCTATAATAAATAAATTGTAAAACATTCAAGGATAACAAAATAATTTTAATTTTTTTGTTTTAATTTTTTAAAAAAGTTAACCGTATTTTAGAAAAACTAATAATTTTTAATGTTTGTGTATATTTTTTATTAAATATAATATTTTTTCTTAAAAAATATTGTTTATAATTCTTATATTTAAAAATGATTTCAATTATATCAAACTCAACAAAATTACTACATTTATCTAAGCATACAATCAATTCATTTAATAAATCAATTTCCGGTCAAACAGTCGATAGTTTAAAAGCAGAAGAAACCGTATGTTTTGATAAGTTTTATCCAACTATTTTGCAACACTTGACTCGAGATATCGGTAACAATAACAACAACAATGAATTGATTGCAGCAAATGAGTGGATCCGACGGGTCATTGATTACAATGTACCGCACGGTAAACGAAATCGTGGTCTAATGTGTGTCTTGAGCTATCGGTTGTTGGTCTCAGCCGATGATTACAAATCATCCGCCAATTTGGATGCCGTCCGCGCACTGGGTTGGGCTCTGGAGCTCTTTCAGACATACTTTCTAATTATTGATGATATTATGGATAACTCTCGTACTCGAAGAGGTCGGACATGTTGGCACTGTTTGGTATGTTTTTTATGAAATATATGGCATTTATTATTAGTATTATTATTTGTCTTAAAAAGCCTAACGTAGGGCTCATTGCATGTAATGACGCGGCTTTAGTTGAGTCCGGTATTTATCAATTGATTAAACAGTATTTTAAGGGAAAGCCCTACTATATGGACATTGTTGAGTTGGTTCATGAGGTATATGTCATACAAGTTATTTATATAAATATTTTTATAAAAATAATCTCTAAATTAGTATAATTATTATTATTGTTTTAGATTTTCCGTAAAACAGCGTACGGCCAGTGCTTAGACCTACTATCTACCAGTCCTTATGTTGACGACAGACAATCAGACTTAAATTCATATACAATTGATAGATATTCAACTATTGTTAAATACAAAACAGCTTATTATACGTTTGTGCTGCCGGTGCGATTAGGTATGTCTAATATAAACAAATACATATTTAAATATAAATTATAATAATTGCATATTTTTTATAGCGATGTATATAACAGGACATAACAATCCTAGCGATCATCAAATAGTAGAGAATATACTACTAATGATAGGACATGTATTTCAAGTACAGGACGACTATTTAGATTGTTTTGGTGATCCCAGTATTACTGGTAAAGTGGGAACCGATATTCAAGACAGAAAGTGTTGTTGGCTTATAGTACGGGCACTGGAGTTATGTAACGATAGACAGAGACAGTTACTGCAAACACAATACGGCTTAAAGTCGGACAAATCGGTGAAACAAATTAAACAAATATATCACGACTTGAATTTAGTGAAAGAGTTTCGAGATTATGAAACCCATTGTTTACTTGAGATCAAGGATGCAATTAATAGATGTAAATATAAGCTAACAGTTCCCGAAACTTTGTTTGCCGAGCCATTAGCTCAGATATATAAAAGAAATAAATAACTTAAATAACTTTACAGTATTATATATATATAAGTAGATTAATATCTAAAATACTTTATTATACAGTAATGGTTATTAAGTATTAAATAGCTGTACTGTACTTAAAAATAACTCTTTATTGCTATTTTTATGCATTTAACATTAATTTGATAACATTATTTTTTTCTTTATAAGTATTACTAATTAGTATTGGTTTATTATTTTAGGAAATCAGTAATAAATTTTATGTAATATCTTATATTTTACATATTTTTAAAAAATACCTATATTGCTAATTACTGTAAATATTTGTTTCAATTTGTGTATGTATGTGTGCCCCATAATTATATATTAAATACAATAATGTTACTAAATTATCAATATGTATTTATACTATATTTTTATGTTTTATTTGTTATACACTTAATACTACTAATATAATAAAAAATTATAATAAAAATAGTGTCAAAAGAAAATTATATATACATTTAACTCAATCTTATAAATTAGTAGACAATGATGAAGACTATGGTAAAAAAATATGTACAGTATTTGTAAACCTAAGTACACAATAAATACTTAAATAAGTTAACAAAACAATAAAACTTTTTTTTTAGGCAAACTATTGCCGACAAATATTAAATAAATTATAAAATATTTTACTTAAGTTAAATAAACAAATGTCATATAAAAATGTTGGTCTCTCTCTCTCTTCTCTCTCTTACCTAAAATTAAAGGTTAGTAAGGGATATGTGTGTCTATATATATACCTGTATAGGGAAATATTAAGTGCTTACAAAAGTATATATATATATATAAACACATAACTCTCTAATCCCGGTGCCAATCGCACCGTTAGTTAGCTGTTGGGCTGCTATTAGTCGTTGAGTCAGTCAGTCAGTGTGTTAGTAGTGATAACGCGTTTTTTTCAATGAAAATGCGGTCAAAAAACATGTAAACTTTTAGTTGTGTTTGAGCGCACTGTGCTATCGACGGTCCCATTCATTGCACTTTTTAATTAGACGCACAGGTATTCTCTGTATTCACCGTTATATCATATTAACAGTTCAGTGTAAGTGTATTAATATCTAAGTGTCTCAATATATAAGTTTAATAAACTTTTTTTTTGTGCAAAATATCTGTAATTTTGTTAACAATCAATATTTGTTGCCTAAAATTTTGAAATAAATTCATTATTATTTTTAAAAAGCAAAAATTATTGTTAAATATATTGTTTTTTGTGATTTTTCTAATAATTTAATTTTAATGAAATTATTCTTTAAAAAATGTTTAATATGTTTTTGTTACAAATTTGATAAACTTTTTAATTAATTACTCTAATTTATGATACAAACTTGAAAATTAGAAATTTTTATATCGTTTTATAGTATTATTTCTATGATATCTAAACAATTAACAATAAGTTTTTTTTTGAAAAATTATTAAATTGTAGTTAAACTGTTTAATTTGTGAACAATGCATAATCATTATGACTACTTAATAGGCATAAATCAAATTAATAATACATCAATGGTGTTAAAAATTACTAAAAACATTAATAATGATGCTACTAAAAATATAATATATGATTTAAAATTATTATAATTATTATATTTTTTGGGAGGCGTTATGAAAAAACATAAAGTTAAAAAAATAGCAATAAATTTTCAAAGTGTTATTTAAGTGCTATATTTGTGATAAAATTAACACAACATCCAAACAACAACAACAATAATACAACAAAAATAACAACAAAATGTGTGATAATTTCATAAGTTATACGAATAACTTTGTCTAATGTGTGTTAAATATATATGTGTTTATAACAAATTGTTTTTTGTTTAGTTAATAGTCAACAAACATCCTTATTATAAAAGATTAAGTTTTTTTAAAAAAATAATAATACAATTATAGTAATAACAATAATAATATAATAGCTGAAAATAATGTTTAATAATCGGATAAAATTTTTTATATTAATTGTATAATTTTGAGATAATAGTCAAGAAAATCTAATTAAAAATAAAAATGATTAAATTAATACATTTGTTTGCCGCTACACTACCGGCTCTCATACCGTTCACCACATTTTGGTTGGTCAGACAGGCCGACCATACTGTCAACTTTGGCCGAAACTCATGGGATCAGGTATTTTGAAAAATAAAATATATATATAATATATAATTTATTTGTTTATTAAATAAGGAAATTATATTTAACTTAAAGTTATAATTATATTACCCAAATTATGGGCACTAATTAGCATTAATTTAGACACAATTTTCACAATGTTTACTCACATTTTATGTCATTTAAAAAATTGTTTGTGTATTCAAATAGATTTAATTTATTTTATTTTTTTGTAAACAACATTTACATATAATGTATTTGATTTTAAAATAATTGTTACAAAAATAAATGAGCCGTTAAGACAATTTTTCTTACAAAAAAATAACAATTTTTTATACATATTTACGTTTTTAAACTTACTTTTTTAAAATAAATTTTTTAATAAATTTCACTTAATATTTTATCTATGATTTTACGGGTGTAGTACTTAAATAATAAAATAATAATATTTGTAATACATGTTTTATCGTAAAATAATGATAAAATTTTTAGATAAAATCGGTAAAAAATAAACGATAGACAGACTGATTGTTAAAATATTATTATTTTTATATTATTTTATATATATTTATATTTTGAAACAATACTAAACTTAATAATAAATTGTTTGATTTAACGCATAAATTTAAAGTTCATTACTTTTTTGGTGTCTTTCAATTGTTATTTTTTTTTGTTGATTCAATTTATTCAACATTGATTTACTCTTTATAATAAAGTGTGTTGTTATGTGTGAATAAACACTAATAAAATTCATTTAAAAACCATTATTTTGTGGTAATCTATTTATTGAATTTTAAAATAACAAAATATAAAGTTTAGTTCAAAAAATATATATATAATTTAAAGCATTGTATTTGTTTAGTAAAATATAAAATTATATATAAATATAAATAAAATAACTATATTAATGAGTTTTTTCTTTAGACTTTTTTTAAAAAAAATAATAATAAGATAAATATGTTTACAAATAGTGTAATATAGTTTGTTTGTTAGAAAAATATAACGAGACTTTATACTATGTATTATGTATTATACATTGTATATATAGTACAGTAACTATAAATATATAAGGGTATAATTTTCGTAGACATAATTTTGATGTGTTTTTTTGGTAAACATTTTCCCTCAAACCATGAAAATTGTTTCCTAATTTTAAACAAAAATAAAACATTTATTTTAAAAGACAACATTAATGTTGCTTACGATGAGTGTGTTTTTGAGAGAGAGAGAGARAGAGAGAAAGAAAGAAAGAAGAGAGAGAGAGAGAGAGAGAGAGAGAGAGAGAGAGAGAGAGAGAGAGAGAGAGAGAGAGAGGATATTGAAAGCAAACAACTAATCAATTGATTGTTTTCAATGTATGTCAAAAAATAGTTATAATTCTTACTTATGATACAACTATTTTATTTATATATCAATAGTAGTATATATATATTGATATATAATGTTTGYGTAGATTTTTTTACAATTTATTTATAAATATATATTATATATGTCATACAGTATAAAATTATAATTTAAATATCAATAAATAGCGTTATAGTAGTTGTAGTAAAAAAATAGTACCGGTATAATTTTGAAAAATATGATTTACAATAGATGATCGAAAATAATAAAAATAATAAATACTACGATTAAAATCTAAAGTCTATATAATTTACAGTATATATAATATTTATATACTGTTTATTGATATTTTAAAATGATACTTATGAATATATATGAATATATCGACAATAATGTGAAAATACTGTATAAAATTGAAAATATCATTTTATAATAATAATATGAGATGAGATGCTCCAGATTTGTATTAAAATATTTTATTTCAAATGTAACTTATCTTATTGTAATGTTATTGTATTAGATTTTTTTACCTATTTTACACACTATTAATACTGTAATTGCATTACTTTTATAATATACAATATATTTCAGTATTTTTAGACTCATTATTCACAAAACATTTTCATTGTTATCAACACTTTTCTCTAACATTTCGACTTATTTCAGCAGAAATACAATTTCAATAGATTTTTGTGTTGAAAATAACAATAATTTTTATTTAATATATTTCTAAAAATAAGTTTTCAATACTTATTTTGTTTTGTTTTTTATTTTTATTATTTTATTTATCTTTTATTCATTTTATTTTTTTACAATAATATCATTTTGATTTTTATATGCGTTTAAAATTTAAATAGATTATACTATCATATAATATATATATAAATTTATTATTTAATATCCCTTCAAAGTTTGATCGATTTAATATAATTATTATATATCAGTTATAATGCATTATAAAAATAAAAAAACCAACATAAGTAATAGTTAAATAAAATATATGTATTGATAATAAAAATTAATTACTAAAAGATTTTTTTATTATTTTATTTTTATTGTATAATTATTGATCACCCTAATTTTTTCACAATTGCCATATTTAATTTAGATATGTAGAATAAAACTACTTTATTACAAATTAACTAAAAATAATTTATATTATAATAATTTTAATTTTATTGTTTATATTAATCAATAATGTATATTAATAATTATTTCTAATTTATTAGTATATAATATCATTACCTTTATTAATGTTTTATACAAAATAATAATAAAAAAAATTAAATATATAGAAAAGTTATTAATAAGAATAACGTGTTAATTTTAGTATTATTTATTATTATTATTATTATATAACATTTAATGTAATTTATTATTTAAAATTATAGTTCAAATATGTTTAAATATAATTTATAAGATCATTAATTTTTTGAAGACATTTTGTTGCTGTTATATTACATGTAATTAATTAACATATATATCTTGATATATCTATAATCACTAGGAGTACGACTACATTGTAGTGGGCGGTGGTTCAGCTGGTTGTGTGTTAGCTAATCGGTTGTCTGAAGATCCCAATGTAAAGGTGCTATTGTTAGAGGCCGGCAGCTCCGAGAATATGGTCACCGATTTTCCCATAGCGGTACTCAATCTGCAGAACACACCCATTGATTGGGGCTATAGGACAGAGCCTCAGGAGGCCTCGTGTTTCGGTCTCAAAAACAGACGGTGCCCATGGCCCAGGGGTAAGGTTCTGGGGGGCTGTTCGGTACTCAACTATATGATGTATATAAGAGGTTTGTTTTACATTTATAAAGTGTTTTATTTTTTATATTTATATGAATAAATATATCATTGTCAATTCATTGAACTCCTCTCTCTCTCTCTCTCTCTCATTCAAAAAACACAACTTGTAATGTATTTTAATTAAATTAAAAATATATGCACATAAATATAAGATAGTATATATTTTAATGTTATTTAATGTTATAAAAAAATATAATATGTAAAACATTTATATGAAAAGTTTATAAATATTGATTAGCAAATAGAGATGGACTCAATTGAAAACAAGTTATTTGCTTTTATTTTATATTAAATAACAAACTGTGTTGTATTATATGTAAAATATTGAAATTAAATCAATTGAATATATATATATATATATATATATATATATATATTTATATACAATATCCATAGCTATTATTTTAGATTGTAGTGAATTGTTATTAAAATGTAAATATTGAATACAAAAAAATTATTTGATTTTAGGCAATGACACCAAACGTGTCATAAATCTCTTATTTTAAATATATAATCATTTATCTTATAAATTAAAATTAGTTTTATTAATGTTAGCTTAAAAATAAGAATTATGTAGTTTAAAATTAATGATAAATGAAATAATATGTTTAAATAATTTATAATTTAAATATTATTATTAATTTTAAATGTGTATAGAGTTTGTTGACTTTATTTGATTTTATTTATCTAAATTTTGTTGTATTCTGTGTTTAATTTTGCAAAATATTATTTTTTAGATATTTATAAATTGATATATAGCTAAAAATAGTCAATATAGATATAATCGTAAAATCTATAAATTCATAATTAATAATTTTTTAAAACAACTTAATATATCAAATAGATATAAATATTTAATTTATTATTCTTATACGTTTTAATTAAGTTATATTATCTACCATTATATCAATTATTATATACTAATTAGTTATATATCTATTTTGAAAGTTTAAATTAGTTGGTATTTTGTAAAAAAATGTCCCATTTATTTATGATAAGCATTAATTTTCAACAAAACAAATTGCTTTTACTGTATATAACATATAATTTATAAAATTTCATATTTTTAAGTGAATTGAGAGTGAATCTGAATAAAATTTATTTTTTTAAAAAAATTATTTTCTATTTTGTAATTATAATTTTCAAATATTTAACAAAACATATATACAATAGTATGTGAAAAAATCTTTTTTTTAAAATCTATTCTAAAAATTACAATAAAATAGGAATTAGTTTTGTGGAAATTTATAAATTATAATTAAGGTTTTTTTATAATAACATTTTCGCAAGTAATTAAGAGTATATTAATTATAATATTTAATTAATTAATAATATTTTAAAATAAACCATTTCCCACAATAACTCACATAATAGGAGTTATTTTAAAGCCATTCTATATTTATTTGAAATGTTTCCTATTTCTAAACATTTTTATTTTTAAAAATATTATGCAATTGCTAATAAAAATTTAATATATTTAAAAAAAAAATTTTTTGTGTATTCTATAAATAGGTAATCCCTTAGACTATGACTATTGGGCCAGAGATGGTTGTGATGGTTGGTCGTGGTCAGAGGTTTTCCCTTATTTTCTCAAATCGGAGGACAATCGTGACCCGAATTTTGCATATAATGGTTATCACGGACGAGGAGGTCCACTAACTGTTCAAACAAGTAAAACAATTAGTCCGGTAGCCCATGCATTTGTCGAGTCCGGCAAATATCTGGGTAAGTGATAACACATATATTATTATTATTATTATTATTATGATAAATAGTTATGTATCCAATATTGAATATACATCCAATGATGAATTTTTTAAAATATAATAAATTTAACCGCAAATGTTGAGAGAAATAAAAACGGAAAAATAATTTAACCTAAAATTTATTGTAATAATAAAAATGTCATAAAAACTTTAAGTTATGAGTGTGTGAATGGGAAAAAAGTAGTTATTTGTCAATAACTTATAGTATTTTTTTAAGTATCACCTGTTTGTCTATTAGTATAAAGTCTAATTGAACTCATAACTAAACTCACATTAGTTATGTAATATTTATATAAATAATACTTATATAACATTTTTTAACATAATACATAATATACAATGTACAATAATATAACATTTAATAAGCTGAGTAATACATTGTGTATTGAAACAATTATTTTGTAAATATGTTTAAAACCCTATCTCTAAACTATATATATATATATATATATACTAACAATTCATGAAAGCTATTATCTACAATATATATAAATTATATATATTTATATTAATAAGCAATTAATTTTTAGTATTAATAGTAATGTATTATCAGTTTGATGATGAGCACCGGTTGTTTTTTTTTATAAAAAGCAGTTTTATCTTTTAACATAAAATTGAACTCTTATAAGAATTCAATGCATTTATTATGTAAAATAAATATATACAGTATATGTATAAAGATATAAAAAACACTTAACCTTTTGCTATGTTTAATAGTGTGTATATATTAACCTATTTTTGGAAAAAAATAAAACAAAACTATAAAATAAAACAAAACATAAATAATTTTTGTTTGAGAGAGTGGTGTGTGTGTGTGTGTGTGTGTGTGTGTGTGTGTGTGTGTGTGTGTGTGTGTGTGTGTGTGTGTGTGTATGTATGTGTATTTATATTGTAGTTTAGTATGTATTTGTTTGTGAAGACAAGTGAGTACCTATTATTATTAATAGGCTATTAATAAAGTGATTGAGTTATTTAAACTTTAAATGATTTTGACATTTGATATTTTATTTTATAAATATTTTTTATGTATTTTATCACATTTGTAAAACAGTTATAAAAATTTGAAAATGTTTATTATTATTATTATTTATTCAGAAAATCATAATTATTATATTCAATACGTGTTCATTAGATATACAAAAACGAGATTATATTTTGATATTTTTATGCTTTTTAAAAGTATTTTATCAAATATGTTTATTTATTACAAATATTGTTAAAAATTTAAAACTTAAATATCTTTAATAGAAAATAAAAAGTTTACAACAAAAATAATTTTAAAAACAATTTTAGCTAAAGATAAATAATTTTTGTTTAAATATAAGAAAATATAATACTAAATGATTTATTAAAAATATTTCTTTTTAATTTTTTTTGTTACTATCTATAAATCAATTTATTGAAAATATTTAAATTCAGAATAAAAATATTTCTATATTATTAGATACATATACTGTATGTTAACATATTAACAACAAAAATATAAATTATAAATTCAATAGATATTTACTAATGATTATGTCACATCAAAATTATTGATGATTTCTAGTATGTCAATAACACTACATTAATATCCAGTATATATACTGTATATAACTTATTTGTTAAGTACTAAAAATATCAAATACCATTAGCAGTATATTAAAAAAAATAATAATATTTTAATTATTAAATATGTTATAATTTATTCAAACAAATAATAATAATTTTTTTCTAAATAATTGTCATTTTTTGTGGACCAATACTTAGGCTATCCAAACATAGACCTGAACGGTGCCCGACAGTCAGGTTTTGCCATACCTCAGGCCACTATACGTCGGGGCGCCCGATGCTCGACGGCCAAAGCTTTTCTATACGACATCAAAGGGCGACCCAATCTACATGTACTTACTTTTGCTTATGTAACAAAAATACTATTCAATCGGCACAAGGAGGCAGTGGCCGTACAGTTTGACCGATTCTCACTGTCCCATGTGGTCCACGCACGCCGTGAGATCGTCATCAGCGGCGGTAGTGTTAATACACCGCAACTATTGATGCTTTCAGGTATGTATTTAGTGTTAGTTTGTATGATATTATTATACAATACTTTATTTTTCAATAATATCTATTATTGTATTAAATTTGTATATATATGTATATGTATTAAAATTTTAAAAAATAATAATTATTATTATCATTCAAAACTAATAGTTATTATTAAATATAACTGTATGATCACAAATAAATAACATTTAGATTTTATATGTAAATTACTAAGCTATAAAAATATCTATTAATAATATCGAAAAAAAATGTTTTTATTTTATCTAAATATAATAATTACTAAATATAAAATGGTTTTAGGCTTTAATTTAATTATAGACTATTTATAAATCTAAACTATAAATATAGAGTTTCTGTATTATAGATTATAATTTAGTGTTACAAATGATATGTATAAGTTTGTATTGTACCGTATAGTAGATATTATATACATATATGGTTTAGTGTGTGTGTGTGTGTGTGTGTGTGTGTGTGTGTGTGTGTGTGTGTGTGTGTGTGTATGTGTGTGTGTGTAATCAAAATATATGATAAAACTAATTTTTCAAAATGTTAATTATTATTAGTTATGATTTATTACAGACAATTTGTAATAAATTTTTAATATAATGGATATAAAAAAATAAACTTTACAATTTTTTTCAATTACAATTTACATAACACTCACTGAATGTTAATGAAATGTTAGACAGCAGTTGGGAAAACAATAGGTGTGGGGTTTATTAGGTTAGTACTGTATTATATAATTTAGTTAATATAATAAAAGATTATATAATTTTTCATAAATATACATTTATATTATAGATTTACAGTTACCTACAGTTGTACACTATAGTTAGTTGTTTTTTTTATAGTTCATCAATGTATATAAAAGTTCATTATTTAAAAATACATAATATGCTCGTATTGTTACACATATACAGGAGCACACAATAAATCAAATTATATTTATATTGCAAAAATACAGTATAACTTATGTATAGTATTATGAAATGTGGGAAAATGTGAATTTTCAATGGTCTCTCTCTCTCTCTCTCTCTCTCTCTCTCTCTCTCTCTCTCTCTCTCTCTCTCTCTCTCTCTCTCTCTTTATTTTATGTGTGTCCTAAAGACAACTAATTCATTACTGTATTAAATGTTTTTTATAGTTTTATATTTTATTATCATATTAATAACTTTATTTTTATGAAAGCAGCATAAACAACAACAACAAAATTATTAATAGATCTTTTATATCATTATATTATTTATATGATATAATAAATAGTTTAATTGAAAAATTAAAATTTATAGTCACATTCATTTAACTGAATTATAATATAAAACTCTCTCTCTCTCTCTCTCTCTCTCTCTCTCTCTATTTATTTATTTATTTATGTATTTCTCTCTTTCTAATAACGAAAATAATATTAAATAAAATTTTTATATATAGTAATTATTATAATATTACATAAAAATCCATTTTATGGTATATTATTAATAATATGTAAAAACCATATAAAAATAATTATTAATACACATTCAATTGAAAAGTTGCTGTAAAGATAATTGACACAAATTTAGATCTAAGTTTAAAATTTATATATTTATTAAATTATTATCTAAACTATTATTATATATTTTTTATCTAAAATTCAGATTTAATTTAGTCATAAACTAGCAATAATTTATGCAAAATCTATTATAACTTTTTACAATACATTATATACTGTATATTTGATACTATTATTATGTAAATTATTTATTACTAAAATAATAGGTATTGGACCTAAAGATCATTTGAAAAAATTGGGAATTCCAGTCATAGCTAACCTACCGGTGGGTCATAATCTCTATGACCACATCTATCCGGGAGGCCTACACTTTGTCATCGATGAACAACATTCGCTTAAAGATCACGATTTTAAGGATCTATCATATATGCAGCGAAAAATCCAAAAGCCTATCAATTTTGTACGTTATTTTGCCGACGGTTCGGGACCATTGGCCAGCACAGGTGGTCTGGAAGGTCTGGGCTTTATATCCACCAAATATGCCAACAAAAGTCTCGATTATCCCGACTTCGAGATTCATTTAGTCTGTGCCTGTCTGTCCTCAGGTATGACATTATATTTTGTTAGTTAATTTTAACTAATGCTAACTATGCCTAAAAAATTGTGTCTTATGTTATGTATTTATTATACAGTATATACAGTATATATGATGTGATTATCAGCGCTATAAATATTGATACATATAATTAATTGATTATAAACTTTAAATTTAGAGTTTATCTATATTTTTCACACACTAATTATGTTTTTCTTTACAATATCTAACTTATATAGACTTGATTTTACTATTTTTTTTAATTATCTATTAGATAAAAAATAATTGATTATATAGTAAATATATAATTTTTTTTTGATTAATTAGTGCACACAAAAAAACATAACATTTGAATTATTATTTTTAAAAAAATTAAATTTTAACTATAATTTATCATTAATATAGACGACGGCCGTATATTTCGCCATAACGTTGCCATAACCGATGAAATCTGGGAAAAAGTATACTTTCCTTATGTCAATCGCGACTGTTTCTCACTATTCCCAGTCCTATTGAGGCCAAAGAGCTACGGCTACATAAAGCTTCGTACGGCCAATCCGTACGATCCACCAGTTATTGAGCCCCGATATCTGACACATCCGCACGATATCAAGTCTATGGTCGAGGCTATGAAGATCACCATTAAGGTGGGTCAGGCGCCCCCACTGAGAAAACTGGGCGCCAAACTCATCGATAAAGTGGTTCCCGGTATGTGTGTGGCTGTAAAAGTTGACTTATAAATTAAGTTTAATATGTTATATATATATATTTATATATATTTAATATAATTTATAAACTTTAGATTACTATTATTTATGAATAGTTTTTTAACTTTTTATTTTTATTTTCATTGAAATGGAAAAAAGCAAAACATTGTATATAATCCCAAACACTTGACAAACGAAAGATTTTTTTTCATAAAAAAACAAATATTTTTACGGATAATAATAATTTACAATATATTCAATATATAATTATATTATATTTATAAAATAATAATAATATTATTTATTTATTTATAGTTTTCAGTTTGTTAAGTGATAATAAATATCATTTATAGACGGATAGTATATTTTTGTTGTTTACAAATATGAGATAAATTATTGTTGTTAACAAACATTATAATTCATATCAAATGTCAAATCTGACAATTGATAAGTTGTTTTTTATGTTATTATTTTTTTTGTTATTTTGTTATTTTTGTTGCTGTTTTTTGTGCACAAATACTATTAATTAGTTAGTTAATGGTAAAAGTTGTGGGGAATTATATTATTAATAAACTAAAATAACTGTAATTGTAATTAATGTATAGTAAAATAAGTACACTATATTATATTATAAAGTGTAAGCTTTATAACTAATTTTATTATTTATAAATTATATAAATATATGATTCAGCGATAATTTATGTTAGTTTTTTATGTTTATTCATTATCTTTTTTGAAAAAATTTACTTATCAAATATATTAGAGTAATTACAGTATATAAATACTAATAGATAAATAGTTGAATATTTTATTTTAAAAATGTGACTTTTTTTCCTAGTATTCATTAGTAATGAAATTTTTGCATAAAATTTATATAAATCCGTATATAAATAACTCTTTAATAACAAATATATGTTTATTTTTTGTTGTTTTATTAGTTAAAAAATACTAAGACATTTACCTATAATTAATTGTCACATTTAAAAGTTTAATTTAGTATAATTGTATTTGTTTTAAAAAAAGTATGTACATTGATTTGGATGGATTAGATTTATATCATAATTTATTTAATCATATATAACATAAAACCCTATCTATTTTACTTAAAAACTATAAAATAAAATAGAAATGTTATTTATTTATATTTATAAATAGATTTGTCATAATTAGTATAGCAAACAGTTTATGCATGAGATATGGTTTAGTGGTTTAGAAATTATTTGTTTTTTTTGAAAACATTAAATAATCATTTAAAATAAGTTAATTTAAATTATAATAGTTATATTTACTGTACAATTGTATTGAAATCTAATTATTAATTATTATATTATGATAATTTACGGAAACATTTTTCTCTTTTTTCTCATTTATCTCTAACAAATAAAAAAATACTAAAATTAAAATTTTTCAAAAAATTGATTTACTTGAAATATAGGTTGTGAGGGATACAAACTATACAGTGATAAATATTTGGCATGTTTGGCGCGTACACTAACCCACACAATCTATCATCCAATTGGTACGTGCAAAATGGGTGCCATCGGTGACCCGACTGCAGTGGTCGACCCGCAACTACGTGTGATGGGTGGCGTCAAAAGGTTACGGGTGGCCGACGCGTCGATAATACCGCGACTCATCACCGGTAACACCAATGCGCCCATCATTATGATTGCCGAAAAGTTAGCCGATATGCTGAAAGGCCGACAATTACCTCCAAAATCATTGCCTCATTATAAATATAAAACATATGATACTAATAATTTAGATTACAATTATATAATGGACAGGTATGCTGATGATGATAATGTTTTTCAAGTGGAAAGATAGCATACTTTTTCTGACAAATATAGGAGTTTAAAATTAATTGTTTTATTTTTTGTCAAAAATATAACATGAACTATAATAGATTAGTGTTATTTTTATATATAAAAAATTGTTTTTATTATAAAGTTGCAAATATCATTTTAAAAATTGTAATTTATTTCATAAAACTTGTAATTTATTATTAACTCTTTTTTTCCTACTTGTCATAAATTTTTTGCGTTGATTTTTTTTTGTTATTGAATAGTAGTAGTATTTTTGTTTATTTTAGTTGTTATTGTATTAAATAATATAGAATTTGTTGTTTAACTAATTATAGAAATAGAGAGACCTTTATATTAATTTTTAAAAAATTTTTATATGTTTTATTTGATTAGCTATGTATGCTATGTATGTTATTAAACACACTGAGATATAAAAAAATGGGCAAAAATATTATTTGTAAATATAATTGTATTTATTATTTTTTTAGGGTAATTAATAAAGTGTTGTTTGTTACTTGCAAATTCATTGTGTGTTTTACAATCACTTAATATAAAAAGTTCATGTATTTTAATACTTTGACATTATGTTATTTATAAAAAAAATAAATATTATTTAGGATCATATTGTTAGCCTAGAAATTTTATGCCATTACACAAATAAAATGTCAAACAATACACTAAACAATTTTAAAAAATGGATTTATTATTAATAGTGTTGTCAATAGTCAAACGTCATTATAAGAAATATCTAATAAAGAAATAAAATATATTTAATTTTAAACACTTGTTTTTATATTTGATTGTAATGTAAATATAATATTTAATATGTTGTCTATGATTGTATAATTGATAAATAAAATTGATTAAAAGATAACAAACAAAACAAGATATTTTATTTCAATATGACTTTAATTGTATTTAATAAAAACATTTTATACTATTGTAATAGTATATAATTTTAAGTAATTTAGAGTACCAATTTATATAATATATTGTATTTAACAAATATTATACAGTATTTGTTTAAAAAAATATATTATTTTTTTTAAAAAAATATTTTTCATTTGTATATTAAATACGGTAATAGATTAGATTTTTTTGCATAAACAGTTGCATAATTTTGTTATAAAATGGGAGTAACGAAAAAAAAACTCATTAATTAATTATTATATTATTGTGCTTATTAAAAAATGATAAATACATTAATTAACATAAATTTGGTTATGTATATAAAGAATTTTTTTATAGGTATTATTTGTATATAATATATAAAGTTAGATACACTTAAATGTAGTGTATATTTAAAAAGTAGAAATATTATTTTAATCCAATGTTTTCTATAAAATGATTATATGAATGATTGAATACTTAATTATTATATATATTTTACATACATTTTATTTTATTAAATGGTATTTATATTAGAGAAAATGGTTAATAAAAAGCAAACCTCATTATTGTATAAATTAACTATTATATGGTACTAAAATAATTATTATTTATTATAACATTAATTGTAAACCCTTTTTGAAAATGCATGTTTAAAAATAAGATTATAATCAACATTCAAAAATTTTTTTTGGGAAATAAAAATATTTCTGATTTCTATGAATTATTAGCCACTAATAAATCATAATTTTAATGGGCATTTAATGACTTACTCATTATGTTTTTCTCATTGATTACTTTTTTAAAAATTTAGATGAAAAATTTGTATTAAATATTTATTTATTGGTAAATATATTATTCGATGATGTCCTACAAAAAAAAACTTTAAAAAATATTTTCTTTAAATAGATTTTTTTCCAAATGCACACATCATTGACATAATATTAATGATTTATATTATGTTATATATTTAATTTAGATATCAAATTTCATTTAGTCTAAATCAATAAACGCAGACTATAAATTAAATATATAATAATAAAACTGTATTTATTAATATTTAATAATAATTTTCTATATTATTAGATATTTTGTCTAATAAATATAACTATATATAGAGTATTATTATAATTTTTAAATAAATTTAATTAAAAATTTAGTTAATTAATAAAAATTTATTCAATAATAATTTTCTATAATAAATACGATGACCTTGATAGTTTAATATTTATTATGTATATTATATTACTGTAGATACTATTATATTAAACAACATAACCATTTGTATAAATACTGTATACGATATGTTTAATAATAAAAATTTAGTTTTTTTTTATTTTAACAATTGTTTTGCACACAATTGCCAAATTTTCAATGTAAACAAATGTAATTTATATGCAAATATAATTCATGCATAAAATATAATTGAAATTGATTTTCCAGTGTTAAATTGTGTTTAGCATTTCACACAAATACAGTATATTTTATTAAATATATACCTTTTATAATAGATACTTATTTTTTATAAATATACAGTATATATATATATATATATATATATAATATGAATTTATATGTATTATAAATAATATTATTAACATTAATTTCTATAAATTAGAGACAGGTTTTTCTTGCAAACCTACCTAATCATAAATATATAAATAGCTATGAAATTTGTATTTTATATAATATTATTTTTTCAGATAACTGTACTGTAGTGTAGATTTTTATTTTGTTGAATTACAAAACTGATATCCATTTAGAGTGCAATAGCTTTTCAATAGCCTGAAGACATTTGAAAGAGAGTTTCCCCTAAAGTAAACCACTTTTTATTTAATATAACTTTAAAATAATTTTTTTTTGGTTTTTTTAATTGAAATATTTTACTACAAATATTTATATCAGTGTTTCTACGTTTGTTTTATATATATATATTTAATATACAGTATATAAGAATTGGACCTATTTTTGAGGTATTTTACTACGAAAATCTGATATATATATATTGATGGACTTAATATGACATATAATAAACTGTTAAATTGATAGTCAAAACACACAAAATTATACTTAAACCCAAAAATTTTTTCGAAAAATAATATATTTAAGTATAAAATATTGAGTGCTTTTATAAGATATACTGATAGTTGAGGGGTTTTTCATGTTATATAATAACTGTTTATAGCATATTATATTTTTAAATATTAAAAATACTGTTTATGAGTTAAAACTATGTTATAACTTATATATACAGTGATGTATAACTGATGATATAAACTGTGATTTTGCTAAATGTCTTAACACTTGTCTTTAGATTAATTTTTTCGATTCAATTCAATTTCAATTCAATTCTGCAAATTTCAATTAAATAACACCTGAATGCTTGTTACACATGCTATATAACTACTGTATGTATATACTGTATGTCGATATAATGTATAATATATGTTACAACATATAATAATAATTTATTTTAAAATTATACTCTCTGTGTATCAAATCGATTGATAAAAACATATTATTAGATCAGAAAATATAACATTAGATAACTGTTTCAATAAATTATAGTCAATGCAGTTACGGTTTGTTATTTAATTATTTTAATATATAATTAAATATAAATCGGCAATTTATTTTAAGTATTATTATTATATATTAATTTTTACTGACCATTTAGTTTCATATAAGATATTTATATATTTGACTTTTAGTTAGCTTTATAAACTATATAAACATATTATGAATTTTCAAATGGCAGTGTCACGGTTGTATTAGTGATTGCATTATTTATCGATATCATCATTTATAACAATAATATTATCTATAACTAGAGCACTAATATCACGTATTTATTTTTTGATGACTATTTTTAAATAAATTTGTATTTTTTGAAAAATGTATTAATTATTGTATCTATTCGTGTAACTTCATGGGAGGCATGTGGTCGGGAAAATCACTTTATTTATTATGAAAAATAAAATTTCATTATAAATATTGAGTGTTATTGAAAATTTTGATTTATTTATGTTAAGATTAATAATAGGATAAATACTTTTTATAATTTATTAAAAGATACTAATAATAAGACAAAAAAGTTATATTTAGTACATAAATGATGCATTTAAGTGCATTTAAAGTAATTGAATTTATATTTTTAAAATACATTCATTAGGTGCTAATACGAAAATCAAATCTTTATTTTTAATATACCGTTTTCAATAAATAAAATACATAATAGATATTTAATACATATTTAATTATTGTATTATTTAACCCTTTATCTTAAATTTAGATATTAACTTAGATATTAAGATGATATATTAAACAATTTTAAAATAATTTATATTAATAGGTTTTTTAAAAAGATAATATTTGATTTGTAATAAATAAAATAACAGTATTAATTTTTTATAATTATTTATACAAAATAATTTACAAATACATTAAATTAATAAAATTAACATTAAATATTTTAATTTGAACATAAATAAAAATTTAGTAATAAACAATTAAATATAAAATAAATAGTATTAACTATTTTTAGTATTTGTTTTTCATATTTTTATCACAATTAAAAAAATAAATATTTATGACATATTTATTACATATTTAATTATCATTTTGATTATTTTTACCATTATTGGTGGTCTCTATTATTATCATTATTTAAAAATTATGATAACCAAATAATATAAATTTTAAACATAATGATAAATTTACATATAAAATTAATATCATTAGCAATAAAGTATAAAATAATATAAAATATTTCAACTTTGTATTAATAAAGAAATGTAATTTATATTAGTAATAATAATATTATTATTTATTATTAACTACTATTTAAAAATTACAAAAATATTTTTTTTTGATATAATAAATTTATTAACAAATAAATTGTATATGAACTAAATTTTTAGTTAATTTTATTACAATTAGTATCGTATTTCAAAAATAAATTTTTAGTTATTTATTTATATAATTAAAATGCAATCACTAGTTGTACTGTATGTTGTATATGCGGTAACAATATAAGTATTATTTAAAAATTACTTTTAGTTATAACAATAATAAAGTTTTCAAATTATGCAAACCATATGTTTGGCTTTAAATGTATTTATCGGTTAACTGATTAACGCGTGACTTAAAATAAAAACAATAAACA